GAGGAAAATGCTGTTGCCCTCCCTGCACAGATCCAGCGAAGGCAGAGCTGCCCACCCATCTGAGGTTGGGCCAGCAGGATGGACTGGAGTGGAAGGTAGCAGAGAAACTCAGCCACAGCAGGCTGTGTTGTCAGACAGGTGGTAAACCAGCATAATAAATCATCATAATAAATCAACATCACCCCCCCATCTAAACTTCTCACCCTGTTTTTCTTCCCCCCCATTTCCCTGTCTGGTTACCAAGTGCTCCACAGTGAGGGTCTGGAATCTTAAGCACGTGCTTAAGACCAGCTGAGGGCTGTCAGGCTGGGGTCAGGTGCTTGCACTCAGCAAATCTGCCCAGGACTGGTGGTGTTGGTGTGCAGAGTTCGCCGAAGAGGTGCCGAGGTCTCTGCTGAAGAGTCGAGCTGCAGGTGTGCTCCCTCTCACCTTCAGGACCACGGACCAAGCTCACACTTGCTGCATGTGTAAGGCAGATGGTATTTGTGTGAGATCTATTTTGAATGCTGTAGAGAGCACCTGGGGCTGGGCTGGGATCTGCGGAAGGGGTGAGTGACTTGCTGGGTGCTTTGCACTCATCCAGAAACCGGGCCGAGCCCCAGGGAGTGCCTGCTGGCACCGGGACGCGGGGTTTGGCTTCTGACACTGTTTGCCCAGAGGCCTGGAGGCGAGTGCTCGGTGACTCAGTTCACTCGTGGCATGTGGGTACAGCTGGGATTTGGCTAAATCCACACGTTTCACGCGCTGCTGTGCTTCTGCTCTTGGGCTGGGAAGCAAGGAGGTGAGCGGTGCTCCCAGGAGGAGACAGCCTGAGCTGCCCTGCCTTGGGAAACGTCAGCCACTTACCTGCCCCACGCATGTTTTGTTGGGCTACAGGCATGGGAAAAGGCACCAAGGCACAGGAAGGTGTGGGGTTATTTTATTCCTCGCGGTGGGAGCCAGGAGTTGTGCTCCGTTCAGGTGTTAGCTGGCAAACACTGCAGGTTGTAGTTTTCCCTCTTGGTTTTACGGAGCTGTTCGCAAGCTGCTCGCACAGAGCCTGCTGTGGCAGGGGCGAGGATTTACAACTCCCTCGTGCCAAATTCGTACTTTAAAAAATAAATAGTTTTATCACCACTCGTGATTGTGGTGCTCGCTTACGCTTTGGCTCATAGATCTGCCTTCACCTGCGCCCTTCAGGAGGTCAGAGCCCTGGGGGCTGCTGCAGGCAGCAAACACGAGTGTGTGGTCACCAAAGAACACTTCTTGTTGAGGTTAATTCAGGAGTGATGCTTCTTATTTAAAAAAAAAAAAAGATTTTATTTCTTAAACAGCCGATGTCAGCAAGGTCTTTCGTGCCCAAATTCCAGCCTGCTTGTGCTGCTCCTGGCAGGGGAGCAAGGAGAAGGAGGGCAGCGCATCCACCAGCAGTCAGCGTTTCCAGGAGGACGGCGTGCTGAGCACGGAGCTGGTGGGCTGTGTGGGCAGCAGGAGAGCCGCTGTGCCTGGGAGCAGTCCTTGAAAAATGTAACAGCGCAGAGTGAAACTGCTGCTAATTCGGAGGTGAAGCAGGAAAACCGTGATGGGGTTGATTTTTATATTTCTGAAGCGTTGTTGGCACGTCGGTGGCTGTTGCAGGCTGTGCCCCTGCTTGTGTTGCTTGAATCAGTGCCTCTTCCACGAAGAGCCTGGTTTGTACGTGATCGCTGCGCCGACACCTTGCAGGGCCGTGGATTTGGAATCGTGGCAATGGGGCTCTCTGGTTTCCCTGCTGCCTCCTCTCGCCTCCCTTGCAATGAGGGGCGGATGGATTGTGTTTGGGGATGTGGCTGGTGGCCAGCTGCCCGTGGCTGTGGGTAAAACCCTGGCAGCTCCCATCACGGGATCCCCTGGTGACCAGGAGGTGGTGTTCAGGGCTGCAGGGGCCGTTCCTGGTGGAAAACTGCGCTCAGAGCCATCACGAGCCCTTAATTACCACGCGGCAAAATGACCACGTGGGCTTCAGGGAAGCTTGGCTGCCTCTCGGTTGTCTGCAGCCCCAGGATGGGCTCTGCTGCCCGGTCAGAAGTGGGAGAGCGACTGTCCTGGCTGTGAGATGAGGGATCTGGAGCTCTTTGGAGGCTGCAGAGCCCAGTGTGAGCAGGGAGGGAAGGGCTGTGCCTCTGTGTGGCTCCTGCCAGGCTGTGCCACGTAACTCTTGTGCCACGTATCCCTTGTGCCTGCTTCTGCCCTGGCCTCCTGCCCCTGCTGCGGGTAGGGGAGGTGAGCACACGGCTGGCCTGGCCCTCAGCAAACGGGGAGAAAGCCCTGCTGAAATTCTCAGCTTGTTTCAAAACACACCAAAACAACACCTCACACTGCTGCCTGACTGCTGCCCTCGTTATGGCAGCGTTCATGTTCTGGGTTGATTGCAGACGCCGAGCCTTGCAGGCTGGCTGCATCTGCTGGCAGGAATTCAGTTCTGAGCCTGACCTTGATGTTTTTATTAGCAGGTGAGCTGTGCCGGGCTGTCCTGGAGCAGGGCTGGGCGAGCAGGAGCTGCCCGAAGGGGCCGGTGGTCCCATCCTGGTGCTGCAGGAGGGGGCTGTGGGTGGGCTCTGCTCTGCACCAGGTAGATGCAGCACACAGCTCTGCACAGAACTGCTCCTGTTCCCTGTGCTCGTGTGCTTCCTGGGTTGGATGGGAAGAGCAAACAGAGAGAACCTCTCCCGTTTTCTCTTCCTTACCCCATTACCCTGCAGTCGCTGCTGCCGTTGTTTGCCCTAGCGCAGCAGCAGCCTTGAGTGACAGCCGAGCTGCGGGCAGAGCACATGGGGTTTGGTTTTGGGATCGGCAGCACCTTGGACTCGATCCAGCTTGTCGCTGCCTACAGGAATCAAAGGAAGCCGTGCGTTTCAAGGTCACCGGCAGAAACCCTTCCCTGAGCTCTGGCTCGCTGGTGCGCTCACTTGGCGAGCCCGTGAGCCCCTTGGGGTAAGTGCACCCCTGTCCCACAGCAAGCAGCAACAAAACACTGAAAAGAAGAGGAAAAGACAGCCTGTGCAAATATATTTGGGTTCTCTCTGAAGCACGACCGAGTTTTTGGTGCCGCCGTGCCTTGCTGGAGCCTGCTTTAGGAGCTGGAGCGGCGCTGCCTGTTGCCTGGAAACCTTCCTGCGAGCCGCAGCACTCAGCACCAGCAGAGCAGCATCGTGAGCCTCCTTCCCAAAACGGCATCGCAGGCTCTGTGCTGGGCTCTGCTCCTGTTTGCAGTCTGGAAGAAAAAGAAGCAAGGTGTCGTGGTCCAACTGCGTGATTTGCCCCGGAGCAGGCTGCTCGCCGTGGTGGCGCTTGGGGCAGAGCAGGGAGCTGGGTGCCTTGACCCAGAGTGGCAGAGCTGGGGGGGTTCCTGGGCCTGGGGAGCCCTTCTCAAGTCACTGAGTGTTTGGCTGAGCCCTTGGCCACCTCAAAACCACAGCTGACACGCTCTCTGCCACAGGAAGCCTTGAAACGATCGCTGTTTCCGTGTAGTTACGAGCGCATCGATCCTGCCGGCACGGCGCAGGATCCTGCGGGAGGCCGCCCGCAGCTCGGCGGTGGCCGTCCAGGGAGTCCCGAGGGACAGAGCTGGGCTAAAACCCTCTGCCAGCTGGTAACAAGCGAAGCAGGAAGCCAGGGGGGTTGTGTGTCGGGCACAGGAGCTGCTTCGGCTGTTTACAAGTGGTTCTTGTGATTTAAACAGTTTGTTTAACAAAACCGAGAGATAAAGGAGGCTCTGACTCAAGATGAGGTGGAGAGGTTCCTGATTTGTTTGGGAGTCTCGTTGCAGACCCAGATAGATGCACATCGCTTATTAGGTCACTTTTGCTTTCCTCTTGAATTAATTTAAAGTCTGCCAGCCAGCCAGGGCTCTCCTCGGGACGTGCTCTGCAGCCCCGTGGTCCGGTGGCTGCGTTTGGCAGGGACACGGAACAACTTGAGCCAAGCAAAGGACAGATACATCTTCTGTCCCCATCTTTTCCTGTCTGTGGGTTGTTAAGATCCTTCTGCGGGGTGATTGTGGCTGGGGCATCCCCTGAAACCATCCTGGTGAAGCCCTGGGGATGAGTTTGGTTCCTGGTGAAACAGGAGTGAGCGGAGAGCAGCCTGAGCCGAGGTGGCCCAGCAGCCTGGTGGTGCCTGCCCTATCCCTGCAGCACCACAGCTGCGTTCTGACAGCCTTTGCCTTCTGCTCGATGGCTTCCTGTTGTTTGCTTGGGGTTTTTTTGGTTAGTGGTTGTTATTTGGGACTTTTGGAGCTGTGCATTGGAGTGGCATTGACTGCAGAACCCGTGTGGTTCCCTGGTACCTCTGTGCGCCTGGCGGGCCGTCCCTGGCTGGTCTCGCTGGGCACTGACTGGTTGTTTCTAAGCCAAGCTTCCCGTACAGGTGATCGGCTTCATCCCCCTCTGGGGGAGGGAGGAGACAGAAGGAGACACAAAGTGCGTGTGGGGGAGGCAGGAACAGGAACAGCAGAGCAGCAGTGGAAAACGGCGCGGTCACAGATGGCAGAGCCAGAGGGTTCCTCGGCCTGCGCCGAGCAAACAGAAGCACGCGGCTTGGGGCAGCAGCGAAGGAAAAAGGATCAGGGAGTCAGGGGAAAGGCAGAGCTGGTCTGGCTGAATTCTGTGCTGCAGGACTTAAAATAAAAGGCGAGGAGGAGGGGGAGCAGCAGCAATAAAACGCAGTGGGGGCATTTCCCTCGTTAACCACCACCAGCTGCATGGAGCAGGGACTCGTGCTAATATTTACTTTGCTTTGTAGCCTGGTAGCGTGGCTCTTTCTCTCTGAGGCAATTCCCCAGTAAGACCAATGCTCTCCCCTCTCCTTTCTTTTGTTGGTGGCTGTCAGAGGGTTCGAGATGAAGCACAGGGCGCTGTGGGCAGCATTGGGGTCTGGGCAGTGCCTCTGGGGTCTGTGCAGTGCCTCTTCCGTGGCCTTGGTGCTTCCCCTCGGGTCTCTGTCCCTGCAGCTCTGCTAATCTGTCTTTTTCTCCCTGCCAGAATGAAGAGAAGAGGAACCTTTCCCTGGGGGGCCATGTGGGCTTCGACAGCCTCCCGGATCAGCTGGTCAGCAAGTCCGTCACGCAGGGCTTCAGCTTCAACATCCTCTGCGTGGGTGAGCACAGCCCTGCGGGGACAGGGCTCAGCTGGTGGCCTCGGGAGGCTGGGGCTGTGTTGGAGGAGCCCTGCTGGGACACAGCCTCGGCAGTGACTTAGGGAGAGGCTGGGGAAAGGCTTTAACATCCCCTTGCTGCCTTCAGCGAGGGAAAGGGGCAGGAGGCGTGTGGAGGGCTGGCCAGCTCCGCATCGCAGCGGGGCTGCCAGCACAGGCACAAAAAGAGGCAGGGAGGTGCGGGGGACGTGGCTGAGCCTCGTGGGTCAGACCAGAAGAGCTCCTGGAGGTGGTGAGGGTTGATCTTTGCTGTCCTTGGCAATAGGAAGGGCTAAGGGAAGGCAGCACGTGGTGGTGCTCAGTCAATGCTGCACAGGTGTCACGGGGGCAGGCTGCCTGTGACATCTCTGCAGGACTGTCCTGGGCAGCTTGCAGGCACCGAGATCTCAGCAGCTCTCTGAGTGCTGTGCAGAGCTTGCTTTGAGCTTGAAATGAAGAAAACTTCCACCAGCTGCCCCCTGTTGCTTCTTTATCCAGCTGCCCACCAGAAAGGGCTGCTTCTGTGTGTGGACTTGCCAGGCTGCGTGCTAGGATCAGTGTGTGCATGCACCTCTGCCTTTTTTATGAATGTGCAGCACGCTTTTTCCCCTGGTGCCCTGACCCACACTGTCCCTAAACTTTATCATGGATGGGGCCCAGCTTTCACCCCGGCAGCATGGTGCAGGCAGTCCCAGCCCTGCTGGCTAAAGGCAGAGCTTCTCAGAGGGCAGAGTAGGAGCTGCACAGCTGGCTTTGGTGTAGCTGCTGTGTGGAGGGAGGGGGAAAGGGCTACAGCAGGACGGGCTTTAGTCCTTTGACACATTAACTGTGCGTGTTGGGCCCCAGGATTAGGGGTGTGGAAGAACTGTGAGCGTTACTGTAGGCAGTCAAACCCAAAGCCTCAAAAAACTCTGCTAGAGCTGTGCTCTCCAGCTTCTGTGGTGCAAAGTCAGCATCGATGGAGGGGAAAAGTTGTGTGTTTGTTTGCTCTCTGGTCCCCAGTGGGGAGATGAGACCGCAGTGCTCTGTGTTGGCTTTGCATTAAGGCTGGGAGGCCTTCGAGACTGCAGCTGCCTTTGGACAATTGTCTGGTCACCAGCAGCTTGTTGCAACCTTTCCTGGTGTAACTCGGTTCTGCTCTGTAATTAATCCTCCTCGAAGTACCCGGGAGCTGATAACTTCTCCTCCCTAGGCGAGACGGGCATTGGGAAGTCCACGCTGATGAACACTCTTTTCAACACCACGTTCGAGACGGAGGAAGCCAGCCACTACGAGAGCGCTGTTCGCCTGCGGCCGCGCACCTACGACCTGCAGGAGAGCAACGTGCACCTGAAGCTCACCATCGTGGATGCGGTTGGATTCGGGGACCAGATAAATAAAGACGAAAGGCAGGTCTTGTGCCATCTGCTTGGCATTTCTGGGCTCGCCTCTGATGCTCAGGCACGAACTGTACCTGTTTGCAGTGCAGCAGGGGAGGTGTCTGTGTTTGTGTTAACGCAGCAGCTCCCTGCAGTGCCTCTGGCGCTGGGGACTGGGTGCAGAGCGAGCTGGGTGAGGAGCTAAAGGGACAGGGGAGGTTGCAGGAGGTGTTTCCAGCAGAGAACGATGTCTTCCAGGAGTGGGAGCAGTTAACAAGCTGTCCTCAGCACACGGCTGGGAATTATCTGTTCTGGCAAGGGTTGGTGGCTCTGGATCTGTCTTGTTTAATTACACAGACATCTTGTTCAGGCCCCAGGTAGAGGCTTTCTGGGACTCCAAGGTCTCTCCATGGTCATCTGGCGTTGCTACAGCCAGATGGCTCAGCCCTGAGACCTGTGCAGAGCCTGATGTGGGGCTGTAGCTGTCTTTTCATGCTCCACTGTCGTTAGACTTTGCAGTGCAGCCTCAGCAGCCTTTGGATTATAAGGTCTGTGTGTAAGTGCCACTTCTCTTGTTATAAAGCTAAATTATTGGAGTCTTACAGCCGTTTTAAATGGCATCATGATGTGTCTAGGAGAACTCCTGAAGTCTTCAGGCTGCTTCGTTGTGAGCTGCAGTATCTGGGTTGCTAATGGTATGGTTTTAGTTACAGGCCAATCGTTGAGTACATTGATACGCAGTTTGAAAACTATTTGCAAGAAGAGCTGAAAATCCGCCGTTCCCTCTTCAACTACCACGACACGAGGATTCACGTCTGCCTGTACTTCATCACGCCCACCGGGCACTCGCTCAAGTCCTTGGACCTGGTGACGATGAAGAAGCTGGATAGCAAGGTAACGAGCTGCGGGCTGCGCTGTCCGTTTCTGGAGGCGGGGGGATTTCTGCCAACATTAATTGTCATCTGGAAGGCTCTGTTGGAGTGCTGGACTCTTTCCTGCACATTAGCTAGGCAGTTTTTAGGACTTTGGTAAAACTTATCCTGGTGTTTGCTGAAATCTTTTGTTTTCTCACCGGCTTTCTTGAAAAACAGCAGGTGGAAAACTGTTTTCAAGCAAGCTGGAGTGTCTGTCACTGGAATAACTTTACCCAGATCAGTTCATTTTAATCAAAGCCATCAACTGCATCTCTAACTCCTCTTTAAAGGAGTATAGCTAAGGATGCATTCCAGCTCCTACAGTTGAATTATGGAAACTGCAGAGCCACCTCTGCTGTCCTGACGGTCCCTCAGGGGGAGAGGGGCTGGAAGCAGCCGGGCAGTGAGCTTCCCGAGGCAGTGGCTGTACAGAGGAGATGGGCTGAGGAGAAGCATCAGCTGTGCATGGTGGCGTGTGTGTGTGAGGGGCTGGAAGTGCCAAACGATCTGTTAGGAGATCAGAATATCTTACGGAATTATAAATGCGGAGAGAAACTCTCAAGGTCATCAGTGTCCTGGAAGTGGGTTGTGAGAGGGGCTGGCTGGGGTCGTTTCTTTGTGCATAAATGATGTCTGGGGGCAGTGGGTTACTTAACTGGCTGCTGGTATGCCTGCAGCTCACAGGAGCTTTCTGACACAGTTCTGGTTGTCCTAGCTGACTTCCAGGGAGCCGCAGGAAGGCTTCAAAGGTCACTAGTGACAGCAGCATCTCTTCCATCTTAGCAAGAATTTCCTGTCTCTAAGAGCAGCACTCAGCAGCGCGGTGGTTCCTCAGATGGCAGGCACCGATCAGCTCACACAGAGGGCAGATGAGGCGGCCGGGACCCTGCAGGAACTGGGGATGCCCTGAATTGTATCTAGGGAACATGCTCTTCTCTGGCTCTTGTCCACGTGCAGCTCTATTGGACTTTCCTGGTGGGAAGAGTTCCCCGTGGCAGGGTCCCTGCTGCTTGCCCTCGCCTCCCGGGGCAGCTGGCCTACTTTTCCTTGGCCCCACTCCAGAGCAGGCACTGGCTTCCCACCCCAGTTGGCCTGTTTGTAACCACGGGGCCCGTTACTCTGCCTGCTGCAGGAATCCGAAAACTTTCCCTTAATAAACTCTGTCTCTTGGCGTCGTGCCAGCATGACATGTTCCCAGAAATATGTTTGGAAGAAGGTTTTTTTTTTTTTTGCACGATTCCTGTTGGTGCTGGTGGTCCCACAACGCTTCTCTCTTCCTTCCCTCCTGCAGTCCCTGCTTCTCCCATCTCCTGGCTGGCTTTAACGGGGTCCTTGCTTAGTTCCAGAATAAATCCTTTGTGCTTGTGCAGAGGTGGAAACTTTGTGCACACACAAGCTTTTATATTTCTAAATTTCCACTGAAGTCGCTTTGTCCATTTGCTCCCAATTTCTGGATTTTGTGTTGTGGCCTCACACAAGGATGCACAACAAAACAAAGAGGTAGAGCCATTGATCTGTGCATGTCAGGGCTTTGGTGCATTTCTCCAGCAGTGTCCTCCCAGGATTTGTGTGCTTCTAGGCACTCCTGGAGGATCGGGGCCTGGCAGCCTGTGCACCTTACCAGTATCCATGACCCATTTGTGCTGGGAGGCCAGCGTGTGTGCAGCTGGGGCACGCTGCCACACCTCTGCCTTGTGTGAGCACACCCGGACCTGGCTTTCTTCTTGGGAAGCTTTGTGTGGCTGCTGGCCTCTGTCTTACAGCTGGAGAGTGGGGAACAGGGAGACAAGAAGTATAGGGGAGGCTTTGCTCTGCTGGGTCAGGAGGGTTGTGCAGGGACCTGGCTCAGCGACACCTTCCCTGCTGCTCACCAGTGGCTGGCATCAGCTGTGGGGCAGGCTCTGGAATGTGCTGGGTCTGTAGGGAGCCTTGCTTAAAGCATGAAATTTACAAAATCCCTCCTGGGGAAAGCTGTTTTCTAGACAGAATCTCCCATTGTGCTGTGCTAAGCTATTTGTTGGGCTGAGCTCGGGGCCAGCTGTTGCAGGGGGGGATTTCCTTACAGCCAGAGGCACCTCCAGAGCTGGTGCTGGGGAGATGGGCAGTGGTGGGGCTGGCTGCTGGGCAGAAACTGCGTGTGACCTGGCCAGGGGTTAGCTTCCCACCGGGCTTAACCTGGGGAAAGGAGGGGGGAGATAATACAAAGAAAATTGCATCGGTATCAGACAAAAAGGTGATTTATTGATTTATTTTAACCACATCCCTGTCTGGGAAGCGATGGCATAACTGTGTGCTGCTGTGGGCATCCTGGGGCTCCCTGTTGGCTGTCCCTGCAGGGTCTGCAGCCTACATCTGCTCTCATGAGCTGTGGCTAATTGCTGCTCCTTCGTGAGCTGACACCTCCTAGGAGGGTCAGCAGCCAGTGACAGCACCTCGGGGCCAGCTGTGCCTCTGCTGCGTGGCTCCTGGGTGGCATCTGGCTGCTGTCCTTGGTGGGACTTGCGTCTGGGAACGCTTCGGAGATAGGGAAAAACCTGGTTTTATTTCACAGGGTGGAAATGCATATGGTCTTGCTATATTAGGGAAAAATAATTTTCTGTCAACTTACTTATTTGGGCACATTCTTGTAGGTTTTATTTTTGGAGCTGAGCAGCGGCTCTGTGGTCAGCGAGAGCCGGGGAGGAGGCGCGCTCGGGGTGCGTGGAGCTCGCTGTCTCAGCTGAAGCACAGACTTCCTCTGGCCTTAAATTCCAGCCAAGATCATCAACACGTGGACTGACAGTCGTGCAGGCACTGCGCCTGGTTCAGTCGGATGACAACCCACTAATTAATGTAATGATTTTGATACTAGGTGGTTAAATGGAGCATAGTGCTCTTCCACCGCGAGATATTTGGATGTTGCTCTGGGATTTTGCCTGCAACAAAAGGTAAAGATTCTGTAGGAGTAAGAGTGGAGGCAGAAACCTCCTGTGGTTCTGGCATTACTTTTTTACTGGCTTTTTAAAGCCTGTTGAAGAAGGAAAGGAGAGGTGGCTTTCACCTCTAGCTAGCTGTATGTTGGCTTGCGTGGCACTAATATGGTGAGCCATGGACTGGCCTTTGCACAGATGTGATCACCCTCCTAGAGCACCTTCTGCAGTCCTTTTGAGTCCTCTCCCCTTTTTATAAAAGGATGAGCTCAGTCTGGCCTTAGACAGCCTTTTGGGTGTCAGTGCTCAAAAGCAGAGAAAGGAAAACAGCAAGATAATTATATGTTGTTGCACTTGTTAACCAGGGGATTTCAGCTTGGGGATTCCCAAGACATGTGTGAAATTAAAAGAAAAACATTAATTTATATATATATCTATAAATAAATAAAATAAATGAAGTTGCAAGGGAAGAAGAGGGAAGCACAGAAGTACCCCTAAAAGCCCTGGAGGTCTCAAGAGTCCTGGAAAGCTGGCATTGAGCTGGAAGAAGGTAGCATGGTCTGTGTAGCTGCATTCCTGGTAGGTCCTGATGTCTCTCTCTTTATTTCAGAGCAGCTGCACGCATTTTATCAGGTGTCAGGAAAAGACAGAACGATCCAGGACAAATTTAGCTGAAAAAAAAATCAGCCTACTGCGAATCTTTTGCCGCTAATTAATTGTTGGCATTTGTTTCGGTGTTGGCTATTGATTACTGGAAATGCAACAGCTTGCCAAAGCCCTTTTGGGGTTTGAACTCTGTGGCAGCACATCCTGATGGACTTGCCTTCTGAAAGGGTGAGGAACGTGGTTAAAGGGACCCAAACCAGCTTTGTTTTTTTATTTTGGGGAAGAAGAAGGGGGGGTAGGCTGGCAGAAAATGGCCTGATCCTGCCCTTGGTGCTCCTTTGTCAGTGTGCCTAGCGGGAAGGGCTGCGCACAGCAGCTCCCTGGCAGTGCCTTTCCCCTGCAGGTGGTGCTGAGCAGGGGCTGGGTGAGCCCTGAGCAGTTTGATGTGGGTCTGGGCTGCCTCTGCTAGCAGGTCAGTGAGACCCAGCTGTGGTCACGGCCCCTTCTGCCTTGGTAATGAGGGCAGCTACCCGCTGAGGAGTGCGGGGAGACCTGCAGACCTTGTTCTGTGGCTCTCAGGCCCTTGGCAAATGAGGCCAGATCGGTAGCTGGGGATAAAAAAAACACAAGTTTCATCTTCTCAGCGTGAGAGTAGCAAGGCTTCATTGCACACAGGAGGTTCTGGGGCCGCGTGGCATCCTGAAGCTGTACCTGAGGCTGTAGCTGAGGTCGTACCACTGAGCTGGGGACATGGCTGGGACCCAGCTGCTGGAGAGGGAACACTGCTGGGACACCGAGCACATGGAGGCGGCTCTCTTTTGGGACAAGTGAGCGCACGGTGTGCAGTGAGCACTGAACCAGAGGGGGAGAAAAAGCAAGAGGTATGGGAAAGCAGCACGCTGCAGGGAGAGCCTGAGCTGGGCAGGGAAGGGAAGGGAAGGGTCACTGGTGGCAGCGGGCACCCAGCGGCTGCTCTGAGTTGCTGCTCAGCAGGACAAAAAGCGTGGGCTGCGGGGAGGTGCTAGGTGGCAGAGCAGCCTGCTGCCTTCTCAATGCCTGAGTTTTACTGCTCCCAGCCTGGCTGCTGGTCAGGCAAACGAGTTTTGTTGTTGTTTGTTTAAGCAGGGGGTGCAGTGCTGCACTTGGCTGTTCTGAGCCCGGCAGGGTTTATTTAGCAGGCTCCCGTGGCAGATGCTGCCCTGCTGGGGCTCCGCAGCACAGAAGATGTGGGACACGGCCCCGGGGGGATGTCTCCAGCCCGCAGCTCGCAGGCAGCTTTGTGAAACCCGGGCTGACGAAGCTGGGTGGTGCGGTGAGCCCAGGGACTGCTGGTGTGAAACCAAAGCTGAGCGACAGCAGCTCCACAGCGCATCTCCTGCCTGCCGTGTGGCACCCTGCACCTCCCGGGGGGGCTGTGATCCACCCAGCCTGGGGGTTGGGATCCTCGCCGAGGGGCTCGGGGTTCCTCGGGCAGCATCTGCAGCTGCTGGCAAAGCATCTGAGGAGTCCGTGCTCCTTCTGCTCAAACAGGGGAAGGTTTCACGTAGCCTCACAGCAGCATTTCATCCTCGCACAGCCGGAGCGGAATGGGTGATAAGTTGAGATGTGACAGCTGAAATGTCTCTGTCTCCGCTGAAGCGTGTAACAGAATGCACCAGCAAGAGCAGGGGCTTTGATCTGCTCGCTGCGTGTGCGTTGCAGGCTGTTTGTCTGCGCTTTATCTGCAAGTCCTCCAGTCAAATCACTCCTGGGGAACTCTTCCCTCTAGTGTTCAGCTGGGCTCGTGCGGCAGCTCGCATGCAAAGCGTGGCACCTGGGTGGCTTTAGGAGGTGGAGAGCAGCCACCGGGGCATGGCCTGGGCCATCTGCACACACCTCAGCTCCCCGTGCACCTCTCTGCTGCGTTCTGTTTGCTGGGCTCCGTTTTCACCTGGCTCTTTCTCCTTCCTTCTGCCGTAGGTGAACATCATCCCGATCATCGCCAAAGCAGACACCATTTCCAAGAGCGAGCTGCACAAATTTAAGATCAAGATCATGAGCGAGCTGGTCAGCAACGGTGTGCAGATCTACCAGTTCCCCACAGATGACGAAGCAGTCGCTGAGATCAACTCGGTGATGAATGTGAGTAACGCTGCCAAGTGCATTGCTTCCAGAAGCTGTGACAAATTAAATTGCTGCGCAAAAATACATTTGAAAGGCAAGTTTCGTTGGGTTTGTCCAGATGCTAAATATGTTTGAAAGCTATGCTGCGGATCTGACAGATGCCTAAGGCTATTGCATACAAAATTAATTAAAATGTGGCTCTTATTTAATCTCTGTGGGCTCTCTGGAGACACTCAGCTCAACCCTAAAATTTGTTTTATTGGATTTTGAAAAAATACTTTATTCAAAATTCATTTTTATCTGCTTTTAGGCTACTTATCATTTGAGGAGGGAGAGACTTGAATAAGAAATTTACAGTTAGATTTACATTAAGTCTTCTACTTAGAGAAAGCTAAGTAGAGAGAGAACAATTTAAAGCAAAGAAGAAAAATTGTGCGACTCCTATTTTGCCCTTTTTAAAATTAAAAAATCAATTTCAGATGCAGTGGAAACGTAAAAAAAGAACTTCAAGTTTTGGAATTTGGCTTTACTCCCTACTCAGAGTTTATCTTTTGGAATAGAAACAGTTGAAATGTTTTCATCGTTTTCGTGTTTTTCTGTTTTTATTTTATTTTATTTTTTGGCTTAAATAAAAAGAAGCTTTTTCATCAAGACGAATATTTTTCTGCAGGGGTGTTCCAGGTTTAAATGCTTTGGCTTTTCTTTCAATCCTTTATTTTTTCCCCCCAACTTTCAAGAATCAATTGATAGTTAGGTCAGTTAGAGACCTACATAGCCACTGTAATGGTTGTTTTTTTTTTCTGAATTCATGGGCTGCTAAAAGCTTTGGAGGAGGCAGTACTTTTAAAGTACAGGTAGGTGTTTTGGGGGAAGAAATGAGAAAGCAACGGCAAACATCACTTTCAATCAAAATCCTTCTGGCTGCCTCCCTGCCAGCTCTGTTCCCTCCTCAAGGTGTGGGCTGCTGCTGGCCTCGTCCTGCTGGATGTGCAGTGGCTCTGTGGGGCTGTGCAGGGAGCACAGGGGCTGGCTCCGTGCTGGCCACAGTGACCCCGGCACGTGGCTTTCTGCCACCGCCCCAGAGGAAAGGAGCAGTGATGTGAGGGAAGTCTGAAGGCGACAGCGTGTGTTCCTGATTGAAGTTTGCCTTGCAGCAGGCTGGCAGAACCTGGGGAGGGCAGGGGGTGGTTCTCCAGATGAGGAAGCATTTCAGACACTTGTGCCTGCACTGCAAGTTCAGGAGGGATCAGTGTGCTGAGCCTCAGGTGTACCTGGAGAGCAACGTCCCTGCTGCGTGGCTCTGTTTTTGCAGCCCTGAGGATGTTTCCATGGGGCCGGTGCCACGTTTCCTTACTGTCCTTGGTGCTTTGCAGCCCAGGGAGCAGCGAGCTTGCCAAATGCTGCACGTGGCCCAGCGGGCTGCGGGTGGGCACTGGAAGGGATGAGGCGTGTTTACGGATGTCTCCGTGCTTTCTGCGAGGCAGGAAGTGCCCCGCTCTTGGCACGCCGAGAGGCTGCAGCTACAAGAACAACCTGACAAATGGGGAGAGGAAGAGCAGTAACAAGCATGGTGTTCCCACAATATTTCCGTGTTTAGGTCAGCCCAGCCAGCGCCGCTTGTTAGCTGCTCTGCTGTGCCACGGCCGTATGCTGCTCTCTGCCACAACACCATGGATCAGAGAGGAGACTGAGGGCTTCTCTGGAAGGATTTCTGCAGTAGATCCTGGGTGAAGGGGCTCTGGTGGCCAGGCTGATTTCTCAGAGTTTAGCCCACGTGCTAAGTCCCTGCCGTTGACTCTGTTGCAGGCTCATCTGCCCTTCGCTGTGGTCGGCAGCACGGAGGAGGTGAAGGTTGGGAACAAGCTGGTGAGAGCTCGGCAGTACCCGTGGGGAGTGGTGCAAGGTAAGGTGCTGGGAGCTGGGCACACAGCTGCAAATCTCCCTGCCACGTGCACGGGCACATGCTGGCACCCTCCAGCTCTGCCCTTCCTTGTGCGTGAAGGTGCCTTGTGCTAATTGCTGGGGCCATGTCCCCTGCAGCCTCGTGTGGGCTGGCCAGCTTTGCTTTGTGTTCCTGCCAGCATCTCAAATACATTTTCTAAGCTCTGCTGAAATTCCCACCCAGTCTGGCATGGCCAAAAAGAGTCCCTGCATCCCAAAAGTTGGTTACCCAGCATGGGATGACAAGTAGAGGTCTGTGGGAGGGGAATCGGTGGGGTTGGGCTGTGCATGTGGTTGTGCTTCTCCCTCTCGTGCGTTCTGCTGACTTCTCGCCTTGCTTTAACCAGTTGAGAATGAAAGCCACTGCGACTTCGTGAAGCTGCGAGAAATGCTGATTCGAGTCAACATGGAGGATCTCCGGGAGCAGACCCACACCCGCCACTACGAGCTGTACAGGAGGTGCAAACTGGAGGAGATGGGCTTCAAGGACACGGACCCGGACAGCCAGCCCTTCAGGTGAGCGGCTGTGCAGAGCCACGCTCGGGTGCTGGCAGCCCCAAGAAAAGGGGAGGTCTGTGGGTGCTACCTGCAGTGCTGGGCTGCAAAATACTAGCACTGGATTTGAACTTTGCGGCTGACTTTGGTGTTCCCTTCCCTGCCTGATTGTCTTTAAGCGAAGCAGACAGGCACGCGTTTTCCCCATCCCTAAGTCATTGGTGTCCAGAGTCTGGATTTCGTTTGCTTTCTTACCCAGCCTACAAGAAACATATGAGACCAAAAGAAAAGAATTCTTGGGTGAGCTCCAGAAGAAAGAGGAAGAAATGAGACAAATGTTTGTTAACAAAGTCAAGGAGACGGAGGCAGAGCTGAAGGAGAAGGAGAGAGAGGTGGGTGTGCCAAAAACCTGCAAAAGGAGCCCAAAATACAGTCAGCCACAGGATCTGGGTCTCGGCAGTGTATGAATCCTGGAAAGCACATGCAGGGCTTGAGCAGACCTCATCAGCCACAGCACAGAATCACACACACCTTCCCCCACCTAGGGGAGGGGATGCTGAGTAATGTTTCCAAAACAACCTGACTGGTTTAGGTGTCTCAGAAACAGGAGTCTCCCCTGTCTGTGCAGCATGCAGGAGGCTGGGCGCTGTTTGGGGAGTGAAGGGTGGCGCAGAGCGTTTCGGTGAGCATTTAGGGCAGGTAGGCTTAACCCGTGGAGGCTCACTGGACAGCAGAGCAAATGGGGCAGTTGGGCAGGAGTCCCAAGGGTCAGCGTGAGGCCCTGGGAACTGGCACCACTGGAGAGGAAATAAATGAATCATCTTCAAAGGGGTGAGGAATGAGAGAGCCCACAGTCTCCTCAGCCCTGCGGCAGGGCTGCAGGCTGAGCTGAGATCCTCTGTGACCTTATCCAGACCTCGCTCTTTCTCTTTGCTTGATGTGTGGGGTCAGGCAAAGCAGAATTTGTCTTCAGCTGAGAGGCACTGAGTGCCCTGTCCCCACCAGCTGGGCAGGTCTCTGTGGTGCTGGGGAGCTGTGGGATGTGGGGTGACGGCTCCTGGGAGCGGGGCTGAGTTGTGCTGGGTGTGATGCTCAGGGCACTTGTCTCCTGCCAGCTGCACGAGAAGTTTGAGCACTTGAAAAGGATACACCAGGAGGAGAAAAGGAAGGTGGAGGAGAAGAGGAGGGAGCTGGAAGAGGAGATGAATGCCTTCAACAGGCGGAAAGTAGCGGTGGAAACCTTGCAGTCCCAGTCCTTGCAGGCTACCTCACAGCAGCCACTGAGGAAGGACAAAGACAAGAAGAAGTAAGTGACCAAGCTTCAGTCTTTCTCCTCTGCCGCTGGGAAGGCTGTGGGTGTGTTCAGACGTTTTGACAATTACTGACAGGGAAAAGGGGGTTTTGGAACCCGATTCCCATCCTTCTAACTGCCTAAAGCAAAGGAAAGACGGGGGCCTGCTGTGCCCCGGCCCTGCCCTGGGGAAGCCCTGCTGGCTGCAGGTGGGCTCCTCAGTTCGGGGCCATTCTCTAAAGGTTTGGGGTCATTCTCTAAAGGATTGGCTTCGCCTCTGTGACAGCCACTGCAGGCAGTCATGGGAATGGTTTGTTCCTGGAGACATAGAGGCTGGAAATCAGCTGCGTTTCCTCCCCAAGAGAGAAGTGGGGACAGTGTTGGCAGTTTAATGTCTTACAGCTGTGGTGTCCATCCTGCAGCACCTTGCTGAGGTCTGTAAGGTTGGGGCCCTCTTTGTAGAGTGCCACTGATGTTCAGGGGCAGAGCTGCAAAAAGGAAAACAGCATCCTGGGCTGAAGCAGCACTGGAAAGTCGTTAGGGCTCTGTGTGAGACAGGGCTCCCAGACACGGTTCTGCTTGTGCTGAATCGCTGAGAAAGCTCTCTTCCCCTGAAGGCAGAGTTCTTATCTTAGCTTGCTGCAAGTTAATTGACATTGCTGAAGCCAGCAGGAGTGTGGAGAAAGAGTATAAAAATAATGCTCTCTCAGCTGCCTGGTGGTATAATGGTAGAGCAGCAGTGGGGTGAACAAGCTTCCAAAAAGAAGGGTTGGTGGTGGTCCTGCTTACATTCAAGCCAGTCTTCAAGGAACAAAACGAGGTAAGCTGCTGTGCAAGGTGGTCATTCTGTTGTTCCAGCACTTTTTATTAATTCCTCTGGCGTGAAGGAGCTCTGGTGTCTGAGTTGCATGCTGTCACGTCCAGACCAGGCAAACGGCAGTGCCTTCTGAGCCTTTTAATGATGAGAAGAGAGCCTGGGTGTTAACTACTCCCAGAGACCTTGAACTTGGCAGCACAGCGCCCGGCTTCACGTTGCTGCTGAGCTCCCGTGCTGTCACTCCTGTGCCACGTGCTGCAGTGCTAGCAGAGCTTGTTCTGCCTGCTGATGTGCTGCTAATTTGTTCCTTCGGAAGGAAGATAACAGCCCGTGCAATTCAACATATTTGCTCCCAGCGTAAATGTGTCGGGGTTAAAAACAAACCTTCCCCAGGCCTGGCAACGTGCTCAGGACAAGTCCAACGCAGCCGCTTCCTGCCCGCTGCCGCCGTCTGCGCCACAAATAGGCTTCCTGCGGGGCAGCCCACCTGCAGGCACTGCTCCAAACCCTCCCTTTTCCAAGCTCTCCCTTCTCCAAACCCTCCCTTTTCTGTGTGGTGCCAGGGATCAGAGGCCGGCCGGGTGTACAGGGTGGCACTGTCAGCAGGAGCAGAGCCAACGCAGTACAGGGAGCAAACGATTCATCAGGGTTTTCTTTTTCTTCTTTTTTTTTTTTTTTTTAATGACCCTGTGAGCTGGTTCCAAATAGGACAGGTGGGGGTCTCTGCTCAAGCAGGGCGATGAAATACTGAAATGGAAACTTGAAGGCAAGGCTGCTCCCCTGTGCCTTGCCTTGTCAGTGACCCCTCTAAGCAGATCATCCTTCGTCTGGGGAAGCTCACAGGGGAGCTCACACGTCAGTGGGGTCCTTAACGCTCCCCGACAAGCAGCATCCATGTCTCTGCCGGCTGGCTTAGGGAATTTGTTTCAACCAAATCAGCCTCGGGGACAGCTGGGACTTGTGGAGCTGTGGCAGGCAGGACAGGGGCTGAGCAGCACGGGTCAGGCTCTGCCTGCGGCTTCAGTGAGCCAGGAGCCGAGCTGCTGGGGCTGGTGCGGGGCTGTCCTCGGGCAGCAGGGGTGTCAGCCCCCTCCAATTCATCAGTGCCCTGTTAAGAGCTGGAAATGAGGGAGTGGGAATGAAGGTAAGGGTCTCTGGGGGGATTTCTTCGTGTCTTGGTGTTAGGAGGGCTGGTTGAGCCTCTTACGTGTCATATTTTAACACGGGGTTTAATGAAAATTGGAGAGGGAGGAATTGCAGGTGCGGAGAGGAAAAAAAGTGTCTGTGCTGCGCCGCTTTGTGCAGGCAGCTGCCGAACAGATCGTGCTTTGTGAGCCTTGTGTCAGTGCTCGCTCTGTTCTGCGAGCCCTCGGATGCCACAGCAGTGTTTGGCCTTCTCTCTTCTTTTTTTTTTTTTTTTAACGTTTTGTTACGTTTTGCTTTGGATTAATTTTCATAATTTTAATTCATGCTTCTTTTTATGTTTTGTTTCTTTCAGTTAATCACACACAGACTTTCAGGCCAAGAGTGGACTTGGTGCTTTCATGTGTTAAGTTGCTTGAGTTCCCCACCTTGTGACCCTTCTCATAACATTGTGTGCGTGGACCAAAGTGAAAGAGAAAATGAGCATCTCCGGTGGTTGCAGTGTAACGACTTGCTGTTATCTGTGCAGAGTTATCAGTAGGTTCAAGGAAGTAACTTTACCATGTACATTTTTTTTAAACAAAGACAACTAATCCCTGAGGCAAGGTGCTTGGTTCTAAACCTAGCGACTGAGCAGCCGTGCATAAAATGACCGTAACTGTGTCTGAACTCAGCTTACCCAGCAGCTCAATGCTTGCTTTCTAGAGTTTTAATACTTTGTATTGGCTAAGGTGACTGCTTGAGCCCTTTCTCCCTCGTATGCCTTCCTCTGCACATGCATAGATGTGAGAAGTGGTATGAAGAGTGCTGAAACGTTTATTTTTCTAACAAAATCTGGATTTGAGTCAGTTTAGAATGGGCGAAAAACCCAGTGCTCAGAATTTCTGCCCTGGGAATCTTAGTCCAAGTAACCAACCCTTAATCCCATAATTATGTATTTTAAGTCCGAATTTCTCTAAATATTTTCTTCATCATTTATAATATATATATATATAGAGAGAGAGAGAGTGGTTAATAAAACTCATGGGACAATGTTTTGAATTTTCTTTACTGCTAAAGTAGAACTTCTATATAGAAAGGATTTCCGTAAGGTGGTGGTTTTATGCTGTGGAACTACAGGCTTCGTGCAGCTCTTCATGTGTCATTTACCAGCACATTTTACCATTGTGTAAAAAAACTAAGCAGTCATCTTTCCTTTTAGGTTGTTTAAAAATAAATAAATAAGAAAAGCCATAGACATGTGCCTAATCAGGAGAATCAGGAGAATCCCCCGATCATGATTTCTGCACCGTATTTATGCTGATAAGCTCCCTTCCTCCTAGAGGTGCTTCCCTTTACCCCCCTCCCATGCATAGAAATCCCAGCCTTGTTTTCCTGGGTAACTGAGCTTAGAGGAATAATTCGGATCAATATTATTTTATTCCACTCAAACCACTTTGTAATAAAGCAGGACAATAACCGAGGAGAGACTGACTAGCTCTGTTGTCATGGAAAAATAGTTGGACCCAATTCCATCAGACAACAGAATAAGAGAAAACAAATATTTTATATTAGCCCCCACGTAGTGTCTTCAGAGTTTAAAAAACACTGGCTGGCTAGGTGTTAGTTGTGAGTGCGTGCATTTTTTGGTTATTAATGGTAAAGGATTTCCCTTATTATTATATTTTCTTAAAGACTTGTCTGTAAGCAGAGCAGTTAGCACATTCCTTCCCTTGCAGGTGGGGGCATGGCCTCGCAGCCTTTGCAGGTCTGATGGAAGGCAGCATCCTGCTGGATGAGGTTCTTTAGCTTCCTGATCCCATTACAGTAGCTTTTTTTTCCCCTAAATACATGCTCAGGTGTTAAGTTTTCACATGGACATTGGCCTCTTACATAGATGTACTGAAAACGACGCCAATGTTACTTGGTGCTTGTGTGCAAGAACCTCACGAGAACTTCACAGGTACCTTTGGGAACAGACCTGCAAAGAGGAGAAATTGTGTGCACTTCCTAGGAGTCTGCTGAAAGCTGAATGTGTAACTGTTAAGGCTGTGCCTCTAAGTCAGATGGATTTTAAAGAGTAACTTTGAACTGTTCAGAGGGCTAACGTGCTTTTCTCTAAGGGAGACGTGCGAGGGACGCAGCCCGTTGTTACGTACAGGAAGACAATGCTGGCTGACAATTGACTGAAATCCAATCATGTAACAAATTAGGGGCATGATTTTGATTATTACTGACGAGAGAAACTCTGGTGCACTACTTGCCTGAGGAAGCAGGGCTGGGTGGTTAACTGGTTGGTTAACTGCTGTGCTTCTCGAGGCCGATGCTACCGACGGCTGGAGGAAAGCTCCAACTGACACTAGTGTATATGCATCCAGCTGCCTCACCACTGCTTGTCCAGTCGATATTTTTGTCCTGATCTCATGCTGCAGCCAACAAGATCTATGCAAATGACTTCTTTCTGCCCTGGCTCAACAGAGATCAATTCTTTTTTCCTAGAATAACAGATAGTTGAGAATAATGATGATAGCAATAAAAGAGTATAAACCTTCAAACCCATGGGCATTGTGGAGAAATTCCCAGCTTTTTCTGAAGAAGACATTCAGAATGTATGTAACAATATTTTAATTATTATTATTATTATTATATATACGTTGACTTTCCTTTGGGCTGGATGTTCCTATTTCTTGTAGTTATTTGTCGGCCTCGACTTCATCAGGGTCAATCAACTCTTCGGAGCAATCAACATCAAACTCTTCCCCACAGAACTCAGTTTTTTTATTCTCTAGGACTTGATTCTTCCTTCTTGACTGAGACAAGACTTGCATATGTGGTATGTAGGGTAGTTCTGAATCTTATTTTTATTTAATGAGCTACAAACACATTGATGCTAAGCTCCCTCCAGTCTGAAGATTTACCTCTTGTAGGCTAGAAGTGAAAGCAAAGCCTCTCAGAAGTGACTGAAGCTGTTCAGTTACACATCTTTCAGCCGTGTCACTCATTTATCTGTAAAAGGTTGGTATTAATGGGAAAACTGTCTCTTTTTTTTGTCATTTAAACATTGACCATCATGTATATTGTCTGCTTTCTAATTTAAAATGTGTTTTTAGGGGCTTTAAGTTTTTGCAGGCTTCGTGTCTGATTGTGGTGAGCTCCCCGCAGGGTGCAGAAGGGGCGTTTAGCTCAGAGCAAGTCTGAAGAGCTCTGGGGCTGTGTCCCTGCGGGTTTAGCAGGCTTCTGACGCGCTGCATCCGTTTGCTTTGTCATTCTGAATGTGTTGGGGTTTTTTTTGACTTTCAGTTCCTTCCACTCACTTTGTACTTTTTTTTTTTTCTTTTATTAAATCTCACATGTATTTTGAGTTTTTGTGGTGTCATTTATTTAGCGGTGGATTTCCTGTGTTACCTAGTTGAAGTAACAATGCATAACAGTGCAAAGCTTACCCAGAACCCAGTGTATCTTCTGAATATTGGGAACACTCAAAAATAGCATTCACTTCTACATCATGCGAAATGCAGAAAAGGACATCTGTAATTTGTGGAGAGATTGTAAGGCATTAATCCAAACTCCATCCCTGTTCAGGCAAAAGCTGCCTTAAAGCTCGTTAGTGCTTCTCTGTGGGATCTTGTGACTGAGAGGGGAGATTTACTGCAGGTCCACTGCTGAAACAATGCCCAAACAGCTGGTTCAAGGGTAGGATGACAAAGGAGCAGAAATGGACAGTGGCAGTGTCTGAGTGGTACTTCCTCTTCATACAAACCAGAGCGGTGTGCTTTTTCTGGAAAAAATGCATCTTACCACGTTATTTTGGCCACATCACGGCCAAAAAAAAGTGCACAGCTTCACTTGGGGTTTCTCTTTTCAGGGACTGCTGATGAAATTGTTGCTTGAAGCTCTGTTCTTGGTGTCAGCTCTGCGGGGCATTGCTCTCTGTGAAGCTGTGTTCAGTTTTCTGTGTGTCTCTGGGTTTTATTCGCTACTGGGCTGAGGGCAGTGCTGCACCTGGGACAAAACCAAAAAGCGGAGCTTGGCTGATGCACGGTGTTGCTGAAGTGGTGCTTCCGACTGAAGCTTTTTCTGCACCCCTGATTTCAGGAACTAAACCAAGTCGGTGCTGCTGGCTGCTTCCGAAATTGCTGTAGAAACATGAATACCTACCGTGCTGCAGCAGGGACTGGTTCGTGTCAGAGCCCTGTGCTTTCTGCATTTAACATGCAGCTTGCTGAAAGGGCAGTGGGCAGTCTGCTCCCTCTGTGCAGCCTGTTTGCATCCTGCTGTTGTATAGGGCCGGGCTGCTCACGCCAGCACCAGGCCCTGTGTTGTACCTGCAGGGCGCTGGCCAGGAGCGGAGCTGGGGCTGTGTCAGGGTCGTGTCACTTGGGTCTCTTGAGCTCTTGAAGGATGAGCCTGAAATGGGGACTCTGCAGCTGATGACGACTGGTTTGTATGAAACGTTTCACAAACTTACCCATCCCAGTACTTCTTAAAGGAAAACCTTCTAGGAGGCCAGAGAAGAGGTGCATAGGATGGGGCATCTCAGGTGCTGTGTCGGCAGCCTGCCCTCGTTAAAAGTTCAAACCAGTCCCAAACACAACCTCAGCAGCCATGGGAGCTTCTCCAGGTTGTGGTGGTTTCAGTCCCACCATCTCCTGCGTACCCGGCCCTGCACGCTCCCAGGCGGCTGCGTGACGTTTGTACTTCGACCTGTTCGTGCTGTCTCTGCCTCCTGTAAATAACTGAAACTTAAACATTGATTCTCTTTTGTTCTTTCTGTAGCTTTTTTAGTCTTCCCACTGCGTGCTCCATAACAACAGGAAGACATGTTAATTAGAAGATTTATTAAGGCCAAAACATCTCATGCAGAAGAAATTAATTGGTGCTTTCACCTTTAAGCTTGCCATATATTGCACAGAAGAGATTATATAGCAAGGACTAAGATGCTCTGTGTCTTCTGATTGGGAAAAGTTTGCTTGATCAGGTTTCTTGATCAAGGCAAAATCTGAGGTACTTGCCAAAAGATAAATTGCTAATTAAGGCTGATGCATGGCTTGCACTGAAACCAAAACACTAATCTCGGGGTGAGAGCCTGGACGAGGCACTTAACACTGTAACTAAACTTCCCAAGGGAAGGGGAACGAGGTCGGGTTAGTCCGAGACAAGTTTTCGGCTTGCTGCTTGAGCTGCCACTGTAATGGGATTTTCATTTGTTCCTCTCCTCGGTCTGGTTTTGGGCCGTAACCTGAGAACCTCCTAACGCCCTTAACGCTTCAGCCGGGCTCTGGTGTTCCTTAGCAATAACTCTTCCATGTAGCTTTTTTTCCTGTAGACTTACAGGCTTTACAACCTAAATCCCCAAGCCTCAATTTGTTCAGTTTTCCTAGGGCTGTAACCCCCGTGCCTCACACTTAACCCCTCTCCAAAGCCCCCCTCGCCCTTACTTCGGTTACCGGCGCTCCTGCCTGGCCAGCCCGGACTCCTGCAGCTCCTGCTGGGACGTGCTGGGTAAGAGCAGAAACATCCTAAAGGACAACTAAATAATTCGGTAACAGAGGGGAAATGCTTTAAAGCTGGAGTCTCGGCATTCCAGGCTTTATGTTCTGCATTTATAGCAGACCGACTTCCCCTTACATAAATAACTTGTTTAAAAAAAACTCTTGGTGTTTGTGTCCCAGGCTAACTTCTCAAAGGAACAGGGCAAGGCCCTAGTTTACCTTCATTTTAAACAAACTTGTAAATGAATCTCAGGAATGACCTGCTTGTACCAAAGTTGGGTTTAATAAAAATAGAACTGACATGTTTAACAAACATCTGTTAAACGCGTTTTGTACGCTAATTATATTCACTGGAAGAACACAGTGCTTTGTCCAAATTCACAATCCTCGCGGTTGTTCCAGCTTCCCTCTGTTAACCCCCTTGTCCCGTGTGTGCTGGATGTGCTCCTACTGCCAGCAGCCCCCTGTGCCACGGCTGGAGGTAACGGCCGAGCCCACGGGGCATCTCTGAATTCTGGAAAGAAAATCACCCAAGTCTGTTGTTAGGCACACTTGAAATCTTCAGCTGCTCCCCTGATCTGCACCATGCAAGTTTTTGCGTTGCGTTTTCTTTTCATTTTTTCAAAAAAATCTTTTTTCAAACTCACAGCAGAGAGAGGCCATCCCTGCTGCCCACAGCTCCTCTGAAGGGCAAGGAAAGGTGTTCGTACCTGGCACAGGTGGGAAGGAGCCAGCACAGCGCTGTGTCCACCTCACTCTGGGAGCTGCTGGGGCCTCTGCAGTCATAGTGAGGTTGCTTTAGGTTCATTTTCTCCCTGGTGGTGATCGCTGCAGGGTGATGGTAGGCGAGGGGAAGAGATCCTCCTGTAGCTTGCCGTGTTTCCAAAACGCAGAGCCCAGGCAGGCAGCTGGGCTGTGCTCACACCCCAGGGAGGGGGAGAAAACAGCCCTTCAGCCAGGTCAGGGGAATTCACCCTAAGAGCTCATCGGAAGTGCTGTGTAAATGTTCTCTTGTTTACAAGGACTGAGCATTCCCCAAACAAACCCCACAAAACCGGCCCTCAGCACATCGGGTGTTTGTCAGCCGTGCTGGCTGAATCCAGTGTGTTCTGCCAGAACGGGGCAGCAGAATGACTGCGGGGCCATGGGGGGAGCCCAGCTGCAGGTAACACAAGCCTGGGGGAGGGAACGACCTGTGGCTGTGATGTGCACGCAACGGCAATCCGAGCAGACAGGCAGAGACAGGAGATAGTCACGGTCTGTGAAACAGCTGGACAAAATGCTCCTTCTGTTCTGTTAGTTCCTTTATCCTAACTCAGCACTGGGAGAGGTGTGGGCAGGCCCTGTGCTACCAGAGATGCAGCCTCCAGCTGCACTGCTCCCAGTCCAGTTTGTCATCCTGCAACTCAACTGGGAACACGGGACTGTGCTGGGCCTCTCAGCATGGGCTTCAGCTTTTTAGATTGAACTCCCCGTTAACGTGCACGCTGGAATGTGGCTCAGATGGCACTGTGGGGGTTTTGAAGAGCAGTTCTGTTGGTTTGTAAGGTGTTATCCAGCATATGGGTGAGAAACTACGTATGTAGGCTCAAAGCTGGGGTGAAAAACAGATAGGAGCTGTTGTGGTATGAAGGTAGAGCACGTTGATTACTGCGTGCAGAATTTTTCTGCTACTATTTCCATTGGTTAATGCAGCTGGTGAAGATGCTTGAGATAAGGTAGAAAAAGGGATGGGAGGAAAAGCAGAACTAGAGACGGGAAGCAGACATGCAGCCCAGCTTCCTGCAGGGGCTGCTGAGGGCATTGCCTTTTTGCTGGCCTCTTGTGGAGCACGCCGAGAACACGCAGACCAAGATTATATTTTATTTAAAGTAAACTACAAAAGGCAACTTGCCTCCTTCAGAAAGTCGGGCAGTCAAGTCACAGTTTGATAGAAAAGGAAAGTGCCACACCGCGGGAGGAAAGAGCCCTACCACAGAGAGAAAACCTTCCCTGTGGGATTTGGTAGGATTAATAAATAACGCGTCACAAGCACGCCACTGCCCAGCTCCTGGCTGCAGGACACCTTGTAAACGGGTCAGGTGTGGGGAGGAGTGCTGAGCCCTGCTCCTGGGGCATCCCCCGGCACTCAGTGTGGTAGCTTTGACTTGCTTGGGCACTGCTTCCTTTGCGGTTTCAGAAGAAAAGCTTGACTTTCTCCCTGCACAAATACGAGGCTGATTCTTTCCTCAGTACCAGCTCTGGCAAAATCTCAATGTAAGACTTTGGAAAGCTTTATCTGTTATCAGAGCTGCTCAGGACGCCACGCCTGCAAAGCTCGCAGTCCGGGACTTTCTCTCCTACCAGGTAAGAAGATGAGCCAAGGAAGGAAGGCCAGGAAATTTCTTGCTGCACTGGTGAGCGCTGCTGCCAAGCAGTGTAAGGATTTCCTTGCTCCTTTCTTACCCTTGCTCCCCATTTATTTATCCAGTATCACTGAGACACCTGCTCAGCACATAGCCTGTGCTGGGCTCCATGAAAGCCTTTCCTGCTCCGTGACAGACTTGCAGGTATTGTTACTCATACAGTACTGTCTGGGTTTTAACTTCTAACTAGTACAACTAGCACCTGAAAATGCTGGCCCTGGTGTTTAAAACACCTTTAAAAAAAAACAGAAAACAACAAACGTATTTTGAAGGAACGTGTAAGGCCATTTTTAAAAGTGCAAGAGAAGCTTGAACTGACCTTTGTAGATTGTAAAACTGCTTTGCTATAGCGATTAACAGTTAACAAAAACTATGCTGGTAGTGGTAAGGAATTAGTTGAAGGCATTTTCCATTGTCCAGTCTGGTAAGACAGGAAAAAAAAACCAGCCTGGATGGCACAAGCTGGGCAGTGCTGTCTGCAGCCAAGAAGTGATCTCCCACAGCTCCCAGGAACTTGGAGGGGGCCTTTAACGGCTCACCCAGGAAGGAGCACGGACCTCAGAACCCTTGGATTCAGGGTAAGGACTTAAAAAAAATAAAAAATTAAATGGTTTGGCTCACAGCCTTTTCACTGTTAAATCAAAACCTTGGTCCTACCTGAGGACTGCTCTTACAGAGCCAGCAGTGGGAGCTCCCCCTTCCTTGAAAGCAGCTCCTGTTTGGCTCTGCCATGGGCAAGTCATGTTAGCTCCAATAATAACGATGGAGTGTGCTGGAAGAAATAAATGTCTCATCTCTCACACTTACAGCAATCTTAAAAAATAAACTGAGGCATGTGGTGCTCTCTGGCGTAGCTCGTAGCCTTCTGCCAAGCTGATCCCTGAGTTGTGGGATTGTGACTGATCCCTCCCCTCCCCAGCTTTCTGTATTTACATGATGTTAAAAAATGAGGGGTAGCAAACACTGCTAGAAAAATGCATAAATAGGAAAATAACACCGTTTTGTCATTATCCTCTGAAAGACACAGCAGTGCTCTTGCTCTATTGTGTCTGTTGGTCTGTTTGCTGGGACCTACTGGTCCCACGGGTGCTGCTTCCAAGGCAGGACGGTCTCCACTAGTCCCTTTCAGGTGCCTGTAGGGGAGGACAGGGAGAGCTTCCTTCTCCAGGCCTCAGCTGAGGGCAGAAGCTGCCCACGTGCCCCCTCCCACCATCCGCTCCCCCATCCTCACTGTACAGCTGGCTGAATCCATCATAGTATTCATCTGTCTCCATGGCGTCATCAGGAATTTGGGCTGGAGTAGATGTGAAAGCTGCTGGAACTGGCTGCCTTACAGCCACCCTCAACCTCGCCTGCTGGGAATGTTTCAATCCAGAGGGGTAAGGGTAGGCTAAGCTTGCCTCGGGATGGCCCTGGATGGCTTGAGTGACGGGATAAAAAATATAAATGGCGTTGGATGGCTGCAAACGCGTTAGCTCTCGATCCACGAACTCTTTGCAGTAGATGAATTCAGTACTGGTAACCTGTAAAGACAGATTTTTTTTGGTAAGTTCATCATAAATTATTTTCTACTCTGGCCACTGTTCCTGTGCCTGTAATTAGGAGGAGGGCAGGGACAGGCTGTATTGGACACCTCAACAGATGCACGTAAGCAATATGCATACTGAGCCTGTTGCAAAACATTTAACCAGGAGCTCCTGAACCTCTACACAACAGGTGGGTGAGTGCTCCCTCTAGTTAGGAGGCTCTGAGGTCCAGCAGGGACAGCAGACGGCTACTTATTTCAAAGTGACAAAGAGAGTTGATGGTAAGCTGCCGACCTGGGACATTTGCCTTCTAAGCCTATGCTCTTAAAAAGCAGGTGTTTTATGAAGCTGGAGAAAAGTTTCAAAAAAACAGAGCTTGCCTTTTGTATGTATCATCAGAAGCTACATTGGTTAGATTTTAAAAGCAAGGTAACTGCTTTTAGAAGTTCTCACCATCCTCAGTGGGAAGCTGAGGACACAGCAGATGGGCAAAAGCTTTGTAGGAGCTTTCAGCCCCTCCCAGGATGGGAGAATCTCCTTGGCCAGGAGGCAGGGAGCTATCTGGGGCCAAGCTCTTTTGGAAACCTCCTCTCCCTGCCAAAGGGAAGGCCCCAGCCCTTAACGGTTTCACTCCTTCTTCTGTTGGCACTAGCAAAGCCAGAACACGGACACAGGCTTCTCAGAAATCTGCTGAAGTGCAATGTGGGTGGTAAACACGCCTGCACTTTATTTATTTATTTATTTATTGGTGGCCTGGCATTGAGAGTTGCAACCAAAGGCCATTTTGATTCCTACCTGTGCTTTCTTTAGCAGATCAGTAATAACAGGAAACCAGTCAGGAGTCAGCCTCTCCAGCTCTAAGGTGATGATCACCAAGGCCAATGTGGAGCCCTTAAACTGCACTAGTTGGTGGCACGCCATACAGTGCTGTAGCTGTTTGGTCAAGAACGCAACGTGGCGGGAAGGATTCGTCTGAGGCTGCCCATTTAGTAGATGGGGCCAGTTGGACATCACCATGGCATGGAACTGGAGAGAAGAAAAAAAAAAATATATATATAAAAAAAAAAAGCAGAGGTCAGTGAACTTTGTATGTTTTCGTATGTTACCGACCAAACGTACAGACTAATTTCATCTCGTATCAGGAATCCAAGAGGGTTTCCCCCCATCCCCACCCTTTTTTTTTTTTTTGTGTTTTGTGTTTGTACTTGCCAACCACTGAACTGTTTTTGAGCTTATAATGAATGTAAAAGGTCTGTGTTTCCTAACAATTTCTGAAGTTTCTATGTTATCCAGATTGCTATCTTGGAGATTCAGTTCAGACCAGCAGATATGAGTAGAGTAAAACCAATAACAAACAATGTACTCTGAATTTACTGAGGAAACAAGCACCTAAGAAAGGCAGTTTTTACAATCAGCAGCCTAAGATGGCTTAATATTTGCACATAACCTTATAAAAGGGATCCAGGATGTTTGTATGACATGATTTTTGCCTTACTAGCACATGATCGTTTCTTGAAGACAAAGTTTAATCGTTTCTATCAAATATTTAGTAACTGCAATGTGAACTAAGTGCCAGATTGGGGTGGTGTAATTGCGTAAAACAAGGGTGAGTTATCAGTGGGATGAAAAGGGAAATGGTTTAAGAAAAACCTGTGTGTGAAATGTAGCAAAACTGACAGCTTTCTATGTACAGTATTAATAGAACGGAAATAGTTAGAAATATTTTTGCAGTGTGTATTTAAAAAAAAATAAAAATGGCGTATAGTTGTGCTTTATGAGAATCTTTTTAATGTCCATTTTAGTTGTCCTTTAAAGATGGGAGTAAATTTTTTGAGCAAAATGAGAGGTTTTAAATAGCAGTTAATTTAAAAAAATAATAAATCCTTGTAGCATTTGTCAAAAGGCTTGCAGGTAGCTAAGAGTCGGCAGTTTGCAAAGCGTCGTGGGAAGGATGTGTGGGTGTGTACGTGCGTGCATCCGTGTTTTCTAGTATTATTTAATAAGCTGTTTCTTTAAACAAAAAAAAAAAAAGCAAAACTTAGTGCTTACAATGTTTAAGAAATCCATTGGTGTTGCCGTGTAAAGATCCCAGTGAAGCTTATCTAGTATAATTCTTTCCATTCTCAAGATCTCAGCTGGAGAGCGTTTACAACCACTCTGCACTGCGAGCATCTTCACCGATGGTATTACCTGTAAAAAAATAAAAATAAAGAAGGCACCTTCCTACACAGTGCTGTGTGCATTTCTCTGTGTTGTGAAGGGCTCTAACAACTCTGTACCCGTCCCAAAGTGCTACGCAGACCCCTCGTTCAGGAGAGCACTCTCCTGAGGTATCTCACAATAAATGAGGACCGGTCTCATTAGCTTTGCTCCCCTGACAATCTAGGAGGAGGCTTCCTGTTTTACAGAGCCTTTTGTAGTTGTCTGGTTTCCTGTGGTCATTGACTCAGCTTCTCCTTTTTAGCTGAGGGGAAACGAATAACCTCGCCACGATACATCTTAGAAAGGCTACGATAAGCATTTCGCTACAGCAGAGGATATTTGAGGAGAAGCGCATCTGACTCCAGTGCCTAGGTTTTCTGTTCTTTTGCGAAACAGAATGAAGGGAAGAGGAGAAATACACTCTGAAATGCTGTTCAAGGTCTGTTTGGTTCATGTTTGTAATTGTCTGAAGAAGCCTATCAGTCTGTTTCTGCCATGAGAGATTTTAGCTAGATGCACTGGATGATTATCCCTTGTAAGCTCACACTTCCATGGGTATTTGCTGATTTTCTGTGCCCACCGTGAAGTGCAGACCTGAATCATTTCCTCACCACGTTCAGTACCTAGTTTTGACTCCAAGCAAACTCATCTATTTTAAACTTCCTCTGAAGAACCCCTGCTCTGTCTTGCCTACCCTACCCTCCCAGGACCTATCACAGGAGAATTACAGCACTTTGATGTTGTGCACACAGAGTCTCGACTGTCCCCCCAGACCAAGTTTTACTGCAAGCTGTGGAGTCTGATGAGGAGAAGAGAAATTTAAGTGCAGGAGGGAAATGCATCCATTACATAAGCAAATACAAGCCCTTCATCCATAAAGGTCACAACTCTTCCACGCGCTGGTGAAAAAGGACTGAAAATGTTACTGCCACCCCTTAATGCCTACTCAGGGTAAACAAACTCAGACTTCCTCGTTACGTCTAAGTCGTCAAAAGACCTGGAAACGCAAATAACTTGAACAAAAGAGATGAGTTTAGAGTATTTAAAATTATAAACATACAGACCTCATCTTCTTCATTGGTTTTTGCTGCAAGGACAAGGCAGGAAATTGCTATGCACTGAAGATATTTTAATTGGGCCTGAAGGGAGAAAAAGAAAACACTGGGTAAAGAAATAATAGTCTTGGGAGGAATAATTGTCATTCAACTACAGATGCACAAGCTTCAAATTGTCATTTAAGTTCAGCTGTTTCTGAATTAGTTTAGCTGCAGTAAGATTCATTTGAAGCCAAAAATAGATCAGGGAAATCCAAAGTGAAACAAAATAAATCCTCTTCGTGGTGCCATTTTTATGCACGTATCCCACGATTTTAGATGATGCTATGCAACAGTGTTTACAGTGCAGTGCTCCTCCTCTTAACAAAGATATTCATATGCTTGTGTCACGTGCCAGTATAGATCTGACCAGAACTAAGAGCTGCAAGGGTCAGTTCAACTCCTAACTTTGCTGTTGCTTGAACTGTGGAAAAAGTTGGCCCCAGAGTTGGTTAAAAGTAGTGAGTTCAAAACACTAAAAGTGATAATGCGAATGTTTTGTGTTTAGCAGAGTCAATTCATGATACCTGAGTTCTTTACACTTATGGCAGCATTTGGACTGCAGGGCACACAACCTTCTGCTGAGGACTGTGAATCAGCAAAACCTCGGCAAACACTCGTGTTTGTACATATGCCTAAAAGCATCCCCCTGAAAACCCTGACTGCTCCCTAAATCTGCTGCCAAACACAGCACTCCCTACATCTGCAATCAGCAATCTAACCAGACAATAAGCTGACAGAGTCTCTACCTTTACCGATGCCAGTAACCGGTTAAGGATGCTGATAGCTAAGGCGAATGTTTCAGGGTAGAACTGGAACTGCGAGCTGATTTCTGCAATCCAGAGAACTGTTTTCTCGTAACATGACGGAGAGATATCTGTACCCTGAGGGGAAGAAAAAGTTAGAAATAAAAAAGGCAGTTAGTGC